AGCATTGAATTCTATCTTTTTTTTTACTTAAGATTCTAATGATGCCTCATTTGTTTTTTACCGAAGCTCTAATCTTCGAGGAGCATGTTTTCTTTCTTTGTTCTTTTTTCTTTTTTTTTTCTCTTGTTTGGACTTCTCTTTCTTTTTTGAAACATTTTAACTTCATTGCTAGCAAACTATTTTTTTTTTACTTTTTGGAATTCTAACTAAAACTTCATTCACTTTTGCCTGGGGCTTTTATCTCTAAGGTGCATGTTAGACACTCTCAATAGCAAACACTTTTCTTGAAGTTGGTCTTTTGAAGATATCTTTATTTTATCCCCCAAAGTAAAAGATAATCATTGGCCAAGGTTCATTTTGGAACAAGAAATTTAATAGGCTTAAACGGTTGGCAAGTGGATAATTTTTCTATATGCGAAGGATAAAAAAAGATGATCATTCATCATTTCAAACACGATCACTTAGTAAGAAGAGCAAATTATTAAAAAAAGAGTTAAAAGGACTTTTTTATTTTTTTGTTATTTTTAATTTCCTTCTACTAATGCCCCATCTTATTTTTCATTCAAGGTTCTTATGATATGAGAATCAGGTTATACGAGATTTTTCAAATTTGACCACATAATTCAAAAAAGCTCTTTTAGTTCCAAATTGTTTGGCATTTTCTTGATAAAAAGATGAGAAAATGTATTAAGGCAAGAAACAAATTGTCTTAGGTGAAAAGAAATTTTGCATTTTTTAGTTAATATGGTTTAAGATGTGAAACAAGGGTTGCTTAAGAAAAAAATTCAAGCATTTTTCATGTTTGTAGCAAAATTTTGACACACATGGAATTACCAATTGAAAATTTGAAAGAGTATCTTACTTGATTTTCAAATTTCAAAATGAATTTTTAAAATTGACCTCTTTTATTCATTGCCCAAGAAAAGGTTATTTCCTTTTAAGTCACAATATTATCAAGTCTAAATTCAAATCCACATTCTTTGAAGGGTTATGGCTAATTAGTCAAATCATTTGAGTGATTAAGGACATTAAAGTATTCAAAAAGGTGTGAAGGTATTTGATGAGCTTTTTCCTAATACTAATCAACATTTTCTTTGAGAATCTTTCCATTTATTGTTGCAAAAGAAAACTTCTTTTTCTTCCCTCATTTTTTTTTCTTCTTTATGGTTTGAAAATTAATTATGTGATAATTTATTCAAACAAACGCATAAAGAGAAAATTTCATAGAAAAATCCAAAGCATTCATTTCTTCCAAAATAAGTTCTAATAAGATTAATTAAGATAACTCCTAGGGACACCATGCACATGTCATACATAAATGATTAAAAGATTAAAAAAAAATCCTGTCTTGATCTTTCAACATTCGAAACCTTCTTCCACATTTCAACTCCTCACATTTCACAAATGGATAAAGTTAACTTTCATTGTTCTATCAGTTTTGAAGTTACAATATCACTTTTGATGAAATTCTTAACCTTTTCCTTTAGTTATTTGCATTTCTCAATTAAGTGGTCAATTGCTCCTATATGATAATCAAATTAAGTGGCCAATTGCTCCTATATGATAATCACACTTGCTATTAGGATCATAACTCCTTATTAATGGATTTGGTGTTATTTTTAAGGGCACAAGAGTGAGATGCCGATATTTCATTAGTAAAGGCAAAAGGTGAAAAATAGGGATTGACAGTTTCTCTTGATCATTTCGTGGTTTTTTTTAGTTCTTTGCTAGTTGGGTGGTAGGTTCAAATGTAGGGATAAGATCGTGAATGATCATTTGAAGATGAAAATTTGTTGAAAAGGTCAAATGCTGGCTTGATTGGTAATGATATGGATTTTAAGAGATATTGCTTATGACAGGGTAATGGGTTTGTTAAAAAGGATAAGGATTGTATAAGATGTTCCTGGGTAAATGCCCCTCCATTGTGATCGCTTACACCTCTTCTTCATTCTTTTTTGATGTATTTCCCTCTTTAACATTTGTTGCATTTTTCAACTTCATCATGCCATTCTTAATTGTATTTTCTATAATTTTGTAAAAAATCACCATGTCAGTAAAGTTTTTAGAGACATTCCCGATCATTCTTTTATAATAAAAAGTGTTTAGGGAATTAAGAAATAGAACAATAATTTTTTTCTCTGATATTGGTTGTTGTACTTGGGTTGCCATATCTCTCCATTTGTATGCATATTCTTTAAAAGTTTTAGTGGACCTTTTTTTCATGTTTTGTAAGGACAACCTATTTGGCACCATATCTTTAACATGCTTATATTATGCTATAAAAGCCCTAGCCAAATCATTCTAAGAGCAAATCTTATTTCGGTTCAACTAGGCATATTATCTTATTATAGATCCGATGAGACTATCTTGAAAGCAATGGATCAATAGTTTATCATCATGGGTGTAGACTATCATATTTTGGTAGTACATGATGATGTGTGTTGAGGGACATTTCATTCCATCATGTTTCTCGAAATTCATGGCTTTAAATTTTGACAAAATGACAAGATCATGCACTAAATTAAGTTCGCTAGCATCAACACTCTCATATACATTATGGCCTTTAATTGTCGTCAATCTCTCTTCCAACAAGTCATACTTATCCTTCATCACTATATCTCTTGATGGATTTGACATTTTTTTAATTTCTTCAATTCTTTATAATTAATCATGTTGACACAACAATGGAGTTGTTGGGAGTAAGTTCAGGATTGACATTTATCTAAACTGAGGCAACTTGGCAGAAGTGCTAGTTCTAGATTAATGAGTTATTGTAGGCATTTGTGGCATATAGAGGTCTTGAACATATGTGAACCAAGTGGATACGATGGTGCTTCAATAGTTGTTTCCTCCCTTGCCCTTTGTGTTTCAACAATTCTTTTTCCTTTTGTCAATTTTCCATGATTCTAGTATAGGCTTAAGTGTTTTAAATGCGTAAATTTAACTGATCTTGTTTTTTTAATATGCACTATCCTTGAACCTTTTATTAATTACTAGAAGTCAGAAATCTATAACATGAATTCTATTATTAAAAGTTTTAAAAATATCTTTTTGGTTTGAAGGTTTGATGAAATTATATTCACAATCACCATTCCTTGTCCTTAGCTAGCATGAAAAACAATGAATTCAAACCAATGATGCATGATATATAAGTCAAATTTTATTATTATTATTAAGGAGGAGCTTGAGTTCCATCTTATATTCATATTGGGTTATCTAAAAACATTTTTTCTGCCTTAAAAGTTCGATGAAAGCATATTTACAACTGTTACTCTTTTCCACGAACTCTTTTAGGCATACAATTATTAAATGTAAACAGAGGCATCCATTCATAGGAGATTCAATTCATAACAAGTTTTCATTCATTCCTAAAAGTTTCAAGTTTACACATCATGAACCATCATAGGACTTAAGCAAAAAAATGCTAGACCCGCTATTACTCCCCATTTTGCCTTGCCTAAGAAATTCGAAAGCAATTGACTATGATTATTGGTGAGGATCGCCTTTTACTTTAAAGTGTTTATTCATCATGGCCTACCTTACTATTGCCTACAGCACTGCCTGCTATCTTGACATGAATTGATGAAGGATTCTTGTTAACAACTAGCTTTATTTCGGCATCAAAACTCAAATATCTGACTTTTATCAGTCTCTATACCTTGTATTTCAAAGACATGCAGTCTTCTAAAGAATGACCCACTACGCCAAGATGGTATTCACATTGGGCATTGGGGTCATACCATTTGGGATAAAGTGGTTTGAGGGGTTCAAAAGCAACAGGGACAATGATCTAGTTTTCCTAAAGCAATGGGTATAAATCTATGTAGGACATGGGTATTGGGTCATTAGGGATTTTTTCTTTGGTGTTGTAAAAATTTTTCTATTCTATGGTTGGTTTGCTTTGCTGGAAAAACGATGGTCTAGTTGGTTTTAGAGTGAACTGAGAAACTATGGGTTTGAAATTAGGTTGAAAAAGTGGTGATAGGATAGAATGATAAACAAGTGGTTGTGAAATATGAGGTGGTGGACATGAATTCAAGTGCAAAATTCTTGAAAGTTGTATGACATTTGGGGGCCTAACCCTAGGTACTTGGAAAAAGGTTGAAAGTAGTCATGAGAAAGACTTGAGTGCGGGTTTGGACTCGAGATAGATGGTGATAGTTGTTTGAAGCCAGGTGACTCCATCTTAGAAATTAGACTTTTGAGTTCAGTCATTTGTGAGGCCAATTCACCCAGTCTTCTATTGAGCTTGCCCAAACTTTGGTTATCGTTCAAATCACCTAATGGCTTAGTATGCTCGAAAAAAAATGCTAGAACTAATAAGAGGCAGTTGATCTTGATTTAATGGAATTAGAAATGACAACGGTCCATGAAAAGCAACAAACTTAACCATATCACTACCTTTAACCATTTCTATCAATTGACCCATCTGTTGTTTCGTCTCCCGAAACTCGAGCCAAAATTTTCTCTTGATTCAATTCCAATGCACTAATTCGTGCTTCTAATTGATCTCCCATTTTTGTCATTCTAATTCCCACCAAGATAGACTTTTTATTCTGGGACTTAAACAAAAAATTCTATATTATTACCATTATTAAATGAATGCCACAAAATAATTTCTAACTTATATGGCACATAGAGTATGTTTATGAATATGACAATGATGCCTAAAGAATGTCATAAAACATCAAAATGCGTAAGATAATGAATTTTCATATGTACAAAGCCCCAAATGATAAAAATTCTATCAACCACAAATGTGTATTCAAGGAATGTAATGTTATGATGGAGGGATGGTAGGATATGAAATGCAATGCATGTTCTATAAAACCCTACCATTCATGAATCCATATGCATAAAATGCAATAACATACCATATGGGTGATGAGATATATACCTATGACTAATACAACATACTTGTATGAAATGCACGGATCTACCGTGTGCACGAGATATGTCTATATGGAATGCAGTGCATGTTTTGTGTTGGCCTAATGAATTTGACACTGCCTTAAAATATATGAATGTCCAAGTTTAAGTCTCAAAACTATCATGTTAAAAGCATTTTCTTAACCTATTTGAAGACTTTGGTGGTTGAAGGCAGTGATAATTATCCTATTCTCACAAGGAGGTTCACGGTTCACATTGGATGAGTATTCTCTAGGCCCTGCAAATATTCAGCTAGAACATTCACATGATACCTATACAATAACTTAAGGAGCACATCATTTTGACGATCCATGCCAGTTTACATATCTAATAAGCAAAGCAGATAAAATTTTTGCAAAATTTCATTGCGAATCAAACTGCTCCTCATTACACTTCAGATATGCCCAATACACTCTGCTAGCTCTTACCACTATATGACCCTGAATTGATAATAAATTGTCCCTCAAGATACAAAATTGACAACCCTTTGAGACGCTCTGTGTTGGGGTCTTGCCTTCTATCTCACCGAAAGCTCCATAGCAATAATTATTTACATATACAATAACTTATGCAGATAGCATTTTTTTTATTACAAAATTTTGCTGTCAATCAAACTGCTCTGCTCTAGAATCTTGCTTCTAATTATCTCACCATCCGCTGCAACAACTACAATATGTGATCTCATGATCACAAATATTCTTGGCTCACTCTTACTAGTAGCATCTGTATCAGCTAGAAAAGAAGCGTCAATTTTTCATTTGGAAATGATTCCAGCCAGTGCTAGAGCTTTCATGTGGCTACCACAGAAGCAGCTGTTCAGCAGTTTAAGATAGATTGATGCACTTGCCTTGACGAGAACGAAGAACACTTGTTGGAGGGTTCATCAATCGAATGTTGCTCGAAAGAATATGACCATTTCATCTGCATGAAGCTCCTCTTTCTCCAAGGACCCATATGGAGTTTCTTCTCCTCCATTGACCTTTTGGCTGCATCACACATGACACCAACGATGACCTTCAGGTAATCAGCTTTGCCCACATAACACTCCGGTAATTGCTCTACTAGTTTGTTGTACTCATCGCATGCTTTTGCGATCTGAAATTGTTCTCGGAATTCCAATTCAATTACAAATGAGATTTTCTTCTTTCGCCCTTTTGTGCTTACAATCACCTCAATGTATTCATGTGTCCCTAAAGTAATAAATAAACAAGAGGATTAGAAGAATTACTTAAAATGGACAATATATAAAAACATATACAGAACAATCAACAATGTTTTCCAGGTCAAAATTAATTAATCTCGTTGTTAAAATTGAATCTCTCTTTTCACTAGGCATGAAAGATTTTATTGCTTGTAAATGTCAAGAAACTATCGAATGAGTGTCTGATTGTATGTGTTCGACACGAGTATGTTTATTTTTTAAAAGTTTTTTAATATATTTTGAGGATTGGATTTCCATATGGTTGAAAATATGTCAAAGTAATTCAAAGAAAAAGTAGAAAAACATAGCTTTCTGTAGCCCCAAAGACTGCCTTCAAGTCAACCAAAGTTGAAGTATTTTACAAGTTCACTCTTTATAGGAAACTGTGAAACCCATATATATGCTTGAGATTTTCTTGGTAAAAAGGGAAAAAAAAAATGCAGCCTATTAGTTAAAGAGAAAAGAAAATACCTCCAGGATGCTTTTTGGTGTGTTTCCACTTCGAAACACAGAGAGCGGCATTAAATCCTCTGTCACACAGCAGAGTGATTACTCTCTTGCGAAAGCAGTTGGGACAACCATCAATGCTTGGCTTTGTGCAGCTGCAAAACTCTGTCTCTTTCGCTACCTCTATTATTCCACAAATTTCTTGTCGTAACTTGGAGCCTATCATGATATAACGATCTAGGATTTCCTGAAAATTTTAGCACAGGGGGAAACAATATTATAGGCGATTGGTAAACCAAATTTTTTCATGCTAATTTCTATTTATCGCAATCAAAACCAAGTTAAGAGCACATTTCGGGTCCCCATGCTTCCGGTCAGTGTCAATTTATGAATGTTTAATTTCTGTATTTTCTTTTTGTTTCATTTTTTTATTATTTTCACTTCTAATTATATCTTTTGTACATTGTTAGGGAATAATTAGCTATTCAGTCAACATTGGAGTAAAATCAATTAAAAAAAAAACTCATCCATTTATAAAAATGAAAAACAAAAAAACATTATTTTATTATATATATATATATATATACACGTGTGTGCGCGCACATGTATTTTTGTGTGTATACCAAAATAAATCATGTGGGTTAGCACACCCTACTTCACCACAAGTATATTTCGGCTTCTCTCTCCACTTTTAACTTTCTTTTTTTTATTTTGTTAACTAAAAAGTTGAAAGGAAAAACAGAATATAAAACAATTAAGATGATAAAACAATTAAGAAAAAAAATCTAGTTTTTAATGGAAGTAAATCTTTATACATTGATATATTTTCTGGTTCCTATAAAGCAAGTTTGCTGACAAATCCCTTATAAAACCATGTATGTTATTTCAATGAAAGGTCCTCCTTTGTCTGCTATTTTATAATTTTCCTATGGAACAGAAAAAAAAAAATCAGGACATGTTTATGCTTGAACCAAAAAGCAAAAAGCATAAAAAGAAAAAAAATAGAAAAGAAGAAGAAAATCCCGTTGTTTTATGTTTTGGGTAATATATATATATATATATATTCCTTTCCCTGATTAATTTCAATTGAAGAAGAAAATATAAATATGTATACATACATAAAAACATACCTGAAGCAAGGCCTCTTGGGATTCCCAGTAAAGGGTATGTTGAATACGGTCATTGGGTTCATTACCATCTGATCCATAGCCATCAGTTGCATTGAGAAAAGTATCGGATTCAGTAACATCACTGTCCAGAAACTCTGAAACTCTCTCTTCAAGGCTGAAATTATTAAAGCCATGTTCACCATGGTGATGGCCATAATTGTTCTGTTCAAGAGCCTTCTCTTCAATAAGCCTACCCATATCTTCTTTCTAACAAGACAGACATAAATAAGAAAAAGGATGATTAAACTTTAAAGAAATGAGGAAGAAAGACGTAAAGGCTTTGCACCAAAATTCCAGCAGGAGGGAGCACAATATATATACACCCACCAAACAGCCACGTCAGATAAATATAAATAAATTTATTTACGTCGATTTAATAAATTTATAAAAAAATTATGTTTTATATTTTTTTAATATATGTAAATTCAAACAACAAAATTTTTTTTTTATCACTTAAGCTAATCATCTATTAATTATTTTTTTCTTTTTCAAATATTACAAAAAATCTTTTCATTATTACACACCTAATTTTTTTGTGTTAATTTATCTTTACTTTTTTTTCTTTTTTCCTTTATCAATTTATCTTGTTAAATATTTCAAGATTAGAAAAATAAGGTGTTAAAGAATTAGTGTTGTAATTGAAAATTATATGATTTGACTTATCATAAAAATAAAAATTTTCACCTACTGAAAGAAATACTTAAAACTAAAATTTAGAAACAAACCGTGTTAGAGGGGTTTCTAATTGAAAAAGGATTGATTACGCGGATATATTGTGATTATTGATTTGTATTTATTTTTCCTTCTTCTAATATCCTTATTGGTATGCTTAATTATTCAGTATATGAACTCCACAAAAAAAAAAAAAAAAGGCATGAGTAAAGATTTTACTGTTCAAACAACTCAGTGATCCTTTTATTAAAATAGAATATTTTCATTTTAATTGCAAATTTTTCGTAAAACTAATATGGGGTAAATTTTTGTTACTAGTAGAAACGTATTTCTCCAATAAAAAATAATTAAGTACTTTAGCGATCACAATCAGTTTAAGATTAAAAATATTTTAATTACGGTTTAATTAATTATTTTAAATGCCATTTAAGTAAAAATATTTTCAAAGTTTTTCTAAAAAATATATTGGGTTGGCATAACGGGATCTGATTTTCTACTTTTATAAAGCTAATCTAATTTTTTAGACACCGGTCCACCTTTAGAAAATTATATTTTTTATTTCTTTAATGCACACTTTTTAAACATATAATTTGATAAATGACCTCACCTTGGGCCTCTTTCAAGTGTCATCACATCTAATAAACCAAGCTTCAGTTTAAAATCAGATCCAAATTAAATCAAGTTCAACTCCAAAATCAATTCCCTTAGTTTTATAAGTTAAATGGTGATTCAAGAAATAGAATGAATTGAATCTCTTCAAATTATTCTTAAATAATAATTTTAATATAGTTGAAAGAGAGTGAATTGAATCTCTTCAAATTCTTCCCAAATAATGATTTTAATATAGTTGAATAGAAATTAAGACAATAAGCTCTTTTGATAAAAATATAATAAAAACAATAACAATTAATGAACTTAAAATCAAATATGAACAATAATAAATTATAAAGAGATAGGGATAGAGAAATCAAATACAATGATTTATAAAGGTTCGATCATTCTCTACAAAGCACCTATGTCCTCTCTCTTGATTGTCCACACCAAGGCTCCAATCTACTATGTGTTGAAGATTACAAATAAGCTTCTCAAAACTTTACAAACTCAACACTACACATTCTTAAAGGTTATCTTCTCCCTTAAGCTTATAAACACATAATACAAATATTTTGAAGTGTTTTGTAAACTCTAAGAACCTCTCTACTTAGAGTGGTAGTTTCATGTTTTGTACTCTACTTACTAATTTGATCATAACTTGAGTTATACAAATCTAAATCATAAACCGTTTGAAGATTTAAAAACTAGACTTCTATCCATATAAAGTTCATCACCTAATTCACTGTATATGAATTATAGTGAATTTTTAAAATTACGCTTTATGCAGTTTTTCTGACAACTGTAAAGTGTCTAGTAAAAATTCAAAATCTTTTCTTAAAAAATTAGGATTTTGATTTTGTTTAATCCATTAGAAATAAACTCAAAGAGCTTTCTAATCATATAAAATTTAAATATTAAGACTTTGTGAATTAATACAGAAAAATAAACCAAGCTCCAGTTCAAAATAAAATCCAAATTAAACCAAATTTAACTCCAAAATCAATTCCTAAATAATTTAAGTCCAACGTCAAATTCAAATTATCCACCAATAAAAAATAATTAAAATTTTTTTTTGAATTATATTAACACACTCTTTTATTATTGACTTATTTATTTAATTTACTTTTACATTAATTTATTAAATTATATTTTGAAAAATAAAAGTTGTAAAAAATATATTAACATATAAAATAAGTTAATTATTTGAACATCTAATGAGAAAAGTTTGATTAGAAATAGTGATAATTTTCTAAAATTAAATTTAAAGTGATTAGAATTTTGTTAAATTCACAAAAATCTTTAAAAAATTTAAAATGAGAATCAAATAAATCCACAAATAATATTTTAAAATAAAATTTTAAAACCGCAGCCACTCACACCGATAATAATCAATTTTTATATATTTCAAGGAAAATTGAACTTCTTATTAATATTTTATTAAATAAAACTTTGATACAAGTGTTTCTGTTGCAACACTTATTGACTTTGGACAATGATGGAATTTGAATAATTTCATTTACCCAAGCCTTACCTTAACAGTACTTTTGGAATTAACATTTTAAAATTTCGAAAAAATTTAAAATGAAGGTATTTTAAAATGTATTATTTTAAAATATTAGTATTTGTAATTATTTTATTTGGATAAATATTTTTAGAAATAAATTTAATTATTCAAATGTGATAAGATAAAAAAATATTTATAAAAGAAAAATAATGATATTAAAATAAAATAAATAAATAAAAATAAAATATACAATACAGTTTCATTAGATTTGTAAAAATTTTAGATATTATTAATAATATAAAATATATGCATTGAAGTTGATAAAATGATATTTATTATTTTAATTTTGTAATATTAAATTAAATATTAAAATTAATATATATTGTAATATTAAAAATATATTATGTTACATATAGCAAACAGACTATATATATTTATATACTTATATATATATGCATATAATAATATGTTAAAATTTATAAATTATAATAAAGTGTCATGTATGTCAATGTGTTTAGAATTGCATCTTTACTTACTATAATTTTTTTTATTATTTTCATACTGTTTTTTAATTTTAAAATCTTATGCATAATTAATTTATTATTATATTTCTCATTACACTTGATAGTTAAAATTGAATTTATTTTAAGAGCTTCAGAAAATTAAAACTTTTTGGTTAATCAAGTGATATTATCTGATTTACTAACAATGTATAAATTTTATACATTGATAATACATCAAATATAAGCTCTTAAACTTTTAAGTAAAATTGTTAGATATAATTTAATTTTTGTGGTAAATTGTTTTAAAATTTAAAAATAGTTCACTTGATAAAACGCTTAGGTAGTGTTTAGTATGGAGTGATTACTTTAAAAATCATAGTGATTGATACAATGATTAAATCATTATATTTGATAAGCACTTGATGATTTTATGTAACAGTGATTTTGGATTATTAAGAGTTATCAAATCAATGTCTTGAAGGATGATGTAATTCTCGTACAAAAAGATGAGAAACTTTTATCATCGAAATGAAGTGATATGTAAAATTAATAATAGTTAATTTTATTCATTTAATATATGAATTAAAAATTTGTTGCTACTTAAAATTGTAATTATTTTATATTATAAATTTTTATATTTTCAAACTAATATTCATTATAACAAGTTTAAAATAATTTATGTAATTTTATTTTTTAATCTTTTATATATAATATTTATTTTTTAATTTTCTTTTATTATGAATTTAGTAGATAGGTTTTATTTTCTAATTCAAATATTTTTTACATAATTTATATTATAAAAATTGATTTACTTATTACTAAATATGTTCCTTAATTTAACAATTTAATTATATTTTATTATAAAATAAATAAATATTACTAATATTTTACAAATTATTATCTAGAAACAATTATAAAGATATTAATTTGTATTTATTACAATATGCATAATTAGTTTCGTAGTTTTAAACAAAATAATATTTGGTTTTTAGTAATACTAAACATAGTAATATTTAATTCCCAAGAATTATCATTATTAATCAAATAAAGTAATTTTAAATTACAAGTGTTAAGATCACGTTTGTAATAACATCACTCTGGTAATTATATTACTATGATAATCTTATGAAAGATATCAAATGCTATCCTAATAGTAAGGGTTACTTGCCAAAGTCTGAACTTTATCACAAATATAAAATTTACATATTTTCAAATGTAAACGAGTATCAGATTTAGATAATAGGTTTGTGTACTTGACACTATCCAAATGAAAAACTAATTAAGTTCAGGAATTAGATATTTAAAAAGAAAAATTATCAAAACTTGAAATGAATACTAAATATGTTCTTTTAACATGATAATAACTTGAATATTTTTATTGGAACTTGATATGATAGAATAGATAGGATAATACCAATAACTATCCATTATAATCCCCATTATTAGAAGGTGGGAGCACGTTTTCCATGCATCAAAATAATTTGTAGCTTCTTAGATGGGGTTGGAGTCATTTTGAGATTTTTATGGTAAGCGTAACCCTTTGGATTATTATTTTAGGATTATCTGCCACTAGGCATGAAAGCAATGTTTGTGCTTCGCATGTGTTCTCCACTTATAGTTTGTCCTTTCTTTTCGACCACAAATATATGAAAGGCAAACAACAAAAATTAAAGATATACTAGACGGGGTTGTCGAAGTTATCGCATATCAAAATTTTGTTTTTCAATTTTTAATTATTGTTTTTAAAAAATTTTATTTAATTAAAAAATGTAAAAAAATAAATGAAGATGAATGTCAATACTCTAAAAAGATCGTTTATTTTTAAAATATAAATTATAAAAAATATTTTTATTTTTTTTTGTGTATATGTAACTCATTTATTACTAAGCTTTAAATAAAAAAACTAATGAATACATATACAAATATATAAAATTAAATAAATACTTCCTCTATCCCATTTTCTTTTTTTTTTTTTTTTGGATATCCCAAAATTATGTTCTTTTCTTTTATTGAATATTTAAAACTCTTACTTTTTTTTTATGATTTTTAAAAATTTTTGACAT